CTATAACATTACTGGGCGGAACGAAGGAACGTCGGTCCAGGGTCCAGGCCAAGTAAGTTTAGTAAGGTAGGTCTAACTCGGGGAAGTAGGTGACGAAGAGAACACAAAGCAGAACCATGGGTGGCTTAAAACGCAGTAGAAATAATTATGCTAACAATTGATGTACAAGCTGTAATAAGAGATAGGTTGAATGATGAATGTAACTGAATAAATTATGTAATATAATACATACATGTATGTGTCTGTACTGCAGACGTGTCCTTCCTTTCTAGTAAGCCGTGGGTGGGCGATTTAATAATCCAGCCGGCGTGATATTGATAAACAAAAGATGAAGGAACAAGTCTTTGTTGATCTAGTGCGACAACACACCAAAGAACCACTAATGTTTCTCAGAGCGCCTTCAAATCGGCCGAGTGTTTCTGAAAGTTGATTAGTTTAGATATTACTGTGTATTTAGGTACTTGAAACTAAATAACTATTATCGTCAGCAATCAATCGCTTGTCCACTGTACAGCCCAGTGAACGAACCGCGCCTGAAAAACTCTTGATTTTCTGCACAAGCTAACCTTAGGTTCTACTGCAAAATGGCAACATGGTCGAAAAAGAAAATTCTTCAGTTCATTTAAATTTACAGATCATATGACAGCCTTTGGAAAATAAAATCCAAAGACTACGGTATAATAATTCAAGTCGTCCGTAGAAGGAACGGACATGTAAAAATCGTGGTAATGGTAATTTTTGGTAGGGTCCCTACAGTCGTACATGCACATTCCAACCAGGCGGTTTTGCCGGAGTGGAAACCGGCGTTAGAACCGCCATTCGAAGGGTCGGCGTATCATCCACATCAGCGAGTGTACTGACAATGACGATTTGCACACACACACACACATTCGTTAAGAAAAAATACTAAAATCTACAGGATAAGGCGAAGGCTACTTCCCGCTTTTTAATTTTAGTGATCTTGATCTAGATCTATTGCTTAAGTGATCTCTTTTCTGAGGCCAGTCTTCCATTCACAGTTTCCTCTTTTCGTTTTTCTTCGCCGTGAGCAGTAGATCTACATAAATTGCAAGCAAATCGTCATTGTCAGTACACTCGCTGCTGTCAAACTACCATCCGTGATGTGGATGACGCGTCGACTCATCAAATTCCGAATAGCGGTTTTTCGTGACGGTTTCAGCGCTGGTTCCCACTCCGGTTAAAAACATGAAACCGCCTGGTTGGAACACGTAGGCTACATGTGTAGGACCCTAAGGTTTCTGAATCTGAGTCATTCGAGTCTACACTCACTCACTCCACCTTCACATGTAATTAAATACAGTGGGCCCCACTTATAGCATAGTAAACGTTCTCAGTTATTACGGGATTTGGGCTATAGCAGGCACACGTATAAGTTATAATAAATCCCCGAGTCCAATCTCTTATATAATTATATTACAATGTACAGTTAAAACGTTCGTTTATAATTTATAGTGTGGAAGAGGGTAGGTGGGCCCCGGGGTATACCTTGCGAAATACTAGGAGGATAGGAGGACCCCGGAGTCACCTTAGTGAAATAAGTAGGCTGTGTTTAATTAAAAGGATTGGTCCATGATCAAGCCATTCGAATCTGTCATCTGACTGTCTTGTGACAACTACCTTCCTAAAAACAGTGAAAACACAAGACATTCAGTTTGCCTGGTGCCTCCTCCAAACACAAGGTCTAAGATAGATTATTTACTGTTGCCAGGTGCCGGTGTTAGATCTAGATCTCGGCTTAGGCCTACTCCAGATTCGGTCAAATATAAGGGGACTTACAAGACA